AAAAGGCGGAGATAGTGTTTCATACTTATAAACCCATGATCTTCTTCTTAATTAGCCAACGTGGGACTACTCCTCTCAATAATCCTCAACAATCCTCCCCTTGAACAAAGTACACCATAGAGCCTCCCCTGAGACCTATGGAGCCCTCGAACAGCCTCCCCTTAATCGGGGCTCGACTCCTTCTCTAGAGTCCTCGAACAAATTACACCCTTTGTTCAACACTTAAGTCACTTTTGACTACACTTTCGAGACCACTTTTGACTACACCTTTGAAGCTCACAACTCTTTGTTCGACATTTGAGGATTTTATTGACATGGCTAAGTTAAGGGCATGGCTCTTATACTATATTAGGAATCACGAACCTCCACAATGGTATGATATTGTCCACTTTGAGCATAAGCTCTCATGGCTTTGCTTTTGGTTTCCCCAAAAAGCCTCATACTAATGGAGATAGTGTTCCGTACTTATAAACCCATGATCTTCCTCTTAATTAGTCAATGTGGGACTACTCTTAATAATCTTCAACAATCCTCCCCTGAGGCCTATGAAGCCCTCGAACAGCCTCCCCTTAATCGCGGCACCACTCCTTCTCTGTAGCCCTTGAACAAAGTACACCCTTTGTTCGACACTTGAGTCAATTTTGACTACACCTTTGAGGCTCACAACTTATTTGTTCGACATTTGAGGGTTTTATTGACATGGTTAAGTTAGGGCATGGCCCCGATACCTAATTAGAAATCACGAACCTCCACAATGGTATGATATCATCTACTTTGAGCACAAGCTCTGATGATTTTGCTTTTGGCTTCTCCAAAAAGACCTCATACTAATGGAGATAGTGTTCCATACTTATAAACCCATGATTTTCCTCTTAATTAGCCAATGTGGGACTACGAGAATTTATAATCCCGGCTAAATTACACGATTAAGTTTATCTAAATACTTGTAAAGATGGTTCAAAGATAAGGATGCAATAAACATGAACTAAATCTGAGATCAAATCTAGACTGAATTTATGTGAGTCTTGGTTTAATCCAATGCCAAAACTAAGATAAATCATTGAAAGTATTCAAACTATTACCATCATGATCTTCCAAACTGTCATGGGTTTCTGAAACCAAAGTAAGGAACTTAAAAAAATCCTCTGTGAACTCTTTGCGCCGCTTGGCAACTATCGCATTAATGTCGGTCGGGCTGTCCTGTAATTCCTTGAGAAGTTCACTGTGGATCTCCATTTCATCATCGATCTGTATATTGTCGTCGGAAATGGTTTTCGTGAATAAAAATCGTAGCACGAAAGTTTAAAGAACAAATGTAGAGGAAGAAGAAGAGGATAAGTACATACCCTTTTGACCCTTCTACCAAGTGAAAGTAACTTCTCTTTCATGATTGGATCACTCTCCCAATCTGCTCGCCTTTGGCAATGACTGTAGAAGCTCTCCCTATACTTTTTCCACTCTTCCCTAAACACCAAAAGCTTCCTCCATTCTTTAGTTTTGGGCTTCTCATTCATGAAAATGTCAATTATTTTATCACAAAATTGAGAGATGGTATATCCTTCTGCAACTTCCATCTCTGCTTGCTCTTCCATTTCCGTTGTGGCTACATCGTTCGTTCGTGCACCTGAGAAGCAAGTTCTAGAACAATATTGAAACATAGAAGATAGAAGAACTACAAGATAAGCCAAATACTCAAGGTACTTAGAACCTCCCTCGTGTGTTGAGGATTGCTGGGAGGGAGTCTCACGTTAGCTAATTAAGGGGATGATTATGAGTTTATAAGTAAGGAATATATTTCGGTTGGTATGAGGTCTTTTGGAGAAATCAAAAATAAAGCCATAAGAGCTTATGCTCAAAGTGGACAATATCATACTATTATGGAGAGTGTGTTTACTAACACATGGTATGAGAGTCATGCCCTTAACTTAGCCATGTCAATAGAATCCTCAAGTGTCGAAGAAAGAAGTTTCTAGTCTCGAAAGTGTAGTCAAAAGTGATCAAGTGTCGAACAAAGGGTGTACTTTGTTCGAGAGCTCCAGAGAAAAGAGTCGAGCCTCAATTAAGGGGAGGTTGTTCTAGGGCTACATGGGCCTCAGGGGAGGCTCTATGGTATACTTTGTTCGATGGGAGGATTGTTGAGGATTGTTGGGAGGGAGTCTCACATTGGCTAATAAAGGATGATCATGGGTTTATAAGTAAGGAGTACATCTCCATTGGTATGAGACCTTTTGAGGAAACCAAAAGCAAAACCGTGAGGGTTTATGCTCAAGGTGGACAATATCATACCATTCTGGAGAGTCGTGTTTCCTAACACATTGTATCAAAGTCATGCCCTTAGCTTAACCATGTCAAATAGAATTCTCAAGCGTCGAACAAACGGTATACTTTGTTCAAGAGCTCCAGAGAAAGGAGTCGAGCCTCAATTATGGGGAGGCTGTTCGAGGGCTACATAGGCCTCAGGGGAGGCTCTATGGTATACTTTGTTCGAGGGGAGGATTGTTAAGAATGGTTGGGAGGGAGTCTCACATTGGCTAATTAAGGGAACGATCATGGGTTTATAAGTAAGGAATATATCTTCATTGGTATGAAGCCTTTTGGAGAAACCAAAAGCAAAGCCATGAGAGTTTAGGCTCAAAATAGATAATATCATACCATTGTGGAGAACCGTGCTTCCTAACACAATGCACACATTCATCCTTTCATACCCACTATTAATAACAAATCAGAATGACCATAACAACGTCCCGACCTTATTAATCAAATAGTATTCCTAATCCTATCCCAACAGCATGTTAGAAACCACGGCTCTCCACAATGGTACGATATTATCCACTTTAAACATAAGCTCTCATAGCTTTGCTTTTGGTTTCTCCAAAAGGCCTCATGCGAATGGAGATGTATTCCTTACTTATAAACCCATGATCGACCCCTTAATTAGCAGACGTGAGACTCCTCTCCCAACAATCCTCAACACAGCGTTCTTATTAGAATCCTGGGAACTCTGCAAGAGCCCAAGAAGCACCACACACACGCACGCACAACTTAGTTCCTAGCCATTTATTCAATGATTTTCCAGTCTAAGAAAAGTTCGTGAGTGACGGTGGATACATTTCATAGGGTTTCAAAGATTAAAAACAAACGGATATGAATTCAGAAGCCCCAATTATCGTGAAAGAAAGGGCAAGAGGTGAACAGAAAACAAAACGGTAGTGAAAAAATTGAAGAACTCACTTGCGTTGAATTGCATTGGGGTTGGAACAGTAGCTGTCGCTCGGTTGTCGGATTTGGAATTCTTCGGTGATGATTTGAAGGGTGTAGCAGAGGAGATGGATGGAAGGGGTTTTTGAGCGGCGGAGAAGCGGCGGAAGATGAATGTTTTGGTTGAGGAAATGGAGAGCTGAAAGGCCAACTGATTTGTGATAGCCATTGCCGGCGCTAAGGAAGAAACTGGAGCTGGAGCTATGTAGATGCTGGGATTAGGATTTTAAAATGGGGGTAATAATCAAAATAAATATATTTAATTTTTATTTTTAATAAAAGTAAAATATTAGCTCCTCAAATATCTATTTATTTATTCTTAAACATTTAATTAAAATTCACCTTTTAATTTTAATATATATTATGAAAAATTATATTTCATACAATTAAAAATTATTTAATATATATAATTGTATCAAAAATCCATAAATTTGTATTAGTTTAACTTTAGAAGAATCTACGAGTCAATGTAATGCATAAAGTTTGCATTTATGTGAACCAAACTCAATCTATGGGAGGGTCTAGCCCTACTCCTATTAATGCATCGCGCCCTTTAGTGGCTGGCTCTAATATCATTTGTAACACCTCAAGCGCAGCGGTAGCAAATATTATCTGTTTTGGCCTGTTATATGTCATCGTTACTTTCGTGATTTTAAAATGCATTTGTTAAGGAAAGGTTTACACACCCTTATAACAAATGTTTTGAGTTGAGTTGCGGTTCGATTGGTGGGTTGACATTGTTTTTGTTAACTCATTTATAGATAAATATGATTTTTTTAAAATAATAATAATAAAAAAAAAAAAAGCGAGACAATCCAACTCAAGAAAATAGAGTAGAACAACTGTTCAAGTCATTCATCGACCCAACCAACTTAAAGTTTCAAATTGGTCCAAAAAAAACTTTGTTAAACGATAAAACTTGGTCTCGGGATTCCTAAAAAGACTACAAAAGAGGAGGTAAATAACTTTTGTATTTAAATATTATATATTTGAAACAAAACGTCCTCCAATGAAGCCGTTTATTTCATTCTCTATTTACAATGTTTTGTCTCTTCCAAACATTTACATTCTTTCCTTTTATTTCTTTACATATAAAGTAATTGAACGTCTATCATATATGTGAGATCTTATATGGGGAACGTAACATATCTTATAAAATTTGAAAATTCCTCCCTAGTAGACGCGTTTTGAAAGCCATGAGGTTGACGACGATACGTAATGGGTCAAAGCAGACAATATCTACTAGTGACAAGTTTGAGGTTTTACAAATGGTATTAGAGTCAAACACCGGGCAGTAGGCCAGTGAGAATGTAACCCCTAAGAGGGGCGGGTTGTGATCTCCATGTCGATTAGAGAGGAGATTGAAGCATTCCTTAGAAGGGTATAAAAAACCGTGTGAGAATGAAGGCGAGGGCAGTTACAATATCACTAAATCAAACCATTTGAGCCACGTGGTGGGTCCTTATTTGTCTCAAAACAACTCTACTTATTATTGTTATTAAAATCTTTCTTAATCTTAAAAAAATTTAGTTAATTTAATCTTCCACCATCAACTTATTCCGAAAATTGGAGAAAACTACACTACACCAAAATAAATACATTATTATTTTATATTTTATATACTTCATAAAAATAAATTAATAATTTATAACAAATCTAAAAATAATTTGAGAGAGAGAGAGAGAGAGAGGATAAAAGAAAAATAAATAAATTAAATAAATAAAAACACAAGAAAAAAAAAGAAAAAAACATGAACAATGATTAGATTACATAACACCCATGAGCTTAGAAAAGGAAAGAAAAAAACATCTCACAACAAGGAATTCAAAATTTTATGTTTTTTTTTTTTTTTTTGGGGGAAATATATATAGAAAAAATGGATTTAGGGTTCATAGAGATTTGGTCTTGAAGCGGTAGAGGAGTTTCTTCTTCTTGTTGGTCGGATTGTCAATGGACAGAACCACCTTACCAGCCTCGGATATCTTGAATGTGTTTGTAAGAACAGGATGGTCTTGTGACGACGACGCCACTTTTCTTGCCTTGTCGATTATCACCGTGTAGCTTCCCTCCCCGCTCGGTACGTACTCCGCCCCATAGCTCACATCCCATCCGACCACTCGAACCTCCCACGTCACAGTACATGCCTACATCAACCATATCAACATCAACATATTTTAATTATGCGTGTACATGTACATCAGATGATTAAAGAGATGTTTTAGAATTAATTAGCCGACAATCTCAAAACTAACACGAACCCACATGAATACACAACCACATTAACACTATCAACATCGACATCAATATCAACTCTCATCATTTCACCTTAAACCCGCCATCATAAATTTTATTTATGTCTCTAAACTTATCTAGCTATCATCATCTAGTTTCAATTATGCTTGTATTTATAGCAGATGATTAAAGAATCAACTAGTAGACAATCTCAAAACTAATGAACCCACATGCGTACACAACCACATAGACGATATCAACATCGACATCAAAATCAACTTGCCTAACTATTGTCTAAATTTCAATTATGTGTGTACATTATGACGGATAATTAAAGAGATGTTCTAGACTAATGAACGACACAAAAGTACCACTCGAACCTCCCACATCCACATCAACGTCGACATCAATATCAACTCCAATTTCACCTCAAACCCATCAAAGTGTTGTGTTATGTCTCTCAACATACCTAATCATCATCTAAATTTCAAAAAAATCAATTAGCTAATGAAATTTGAGTAGAGAAATTAAAAAGTTTTTCTCAATAATACGACAAGATGGGTTATAAAACTAGACCTAAGAGAAAAGGAAATGGCAAAAGAAATTGAAATTTGGGAAGTAATAGGATCCAAAGTGTAAAAGGGTATCATGAGAAGGCATAGACAGTCAAAAACAGAGAATTTCAAAGACGCTTTAAAATAAAGAAACAGGGAGTGAGAGAGAGACAGAGAGACAGAGAGACAGACATAATGGGTCATTTTGGACTGTCGTGTCCAGAGAATCCAATGAAATGCACATCTTCCAACGCAAACATTTTCAAATTTCATCACTATCTTTGGTTTTCATTTCTATATTTCTAAAAAATTTAAGGAAAAAGAAGGAGAGAAGAAATAGGAACCTGAGTGACAGGATATTCGACGGCGTGTTTGGCTGAGGGTTTCACTGTGATTTCAGTGACGCTATCACATGTCTCGAATTCCCCATCTTTGCTCATTCCTCCATACTTCACTGGCAGCTCTTGCGCTGTTATGTACCTGGTGGTAGTGTGTTTATCCAAAATTTCCAATTAATTTCCACCCTAAATTACCACAAATCGCTGATTCCAATATGAAAACACAGAATTCAAGAACAATATATCTCTAGCTTTAATCCAAATAAGAACATACCTCAGAAGGGTCTCTGCAGATTTGGAAGGTCCAGCAAACACAAACTTGCTCTTAGTTCTATGAGTCAGAAATGGGCTCATCATTCTATTCACAGCCAAATACCACCAGGGAACATTGATGAACACCTACCCAAATTCAAAACCAAATCCAAAATCAGAAACAGATCATTAATTAATCATAACATCGACAATTATAGTTCAATGAAAGACCTGTTTGGCAACGAATTCTGGGTAGTTATCTTGGAAGATCTGAAGGGCATGTTTGGTTGCCTGTCTTAGCTCCCATTTTCCCAGCCCTGGAGAGTTCTTCAGGTCGTTTACATGAACCATGGTGCTAATTCCTCCGGGATTGAAATCCATTTTCCGGATGCCTTTCTCCAGAAACTGAATCCTCCAACGGAGAAATTTCTCCCGTTTCTCCTCGTCGGAAAATGTTTTCTGGTAAAGCTCTCTGTTCTGAAATTCTCCGTACACGTTGTAACAGACTGGATGCCCTTCTTTGTCCGATCCGTGCATGAACGCTACTTTCTCCAGATCGCTCCCTAAATCTTCCTCCAACAGTTCGTCGATTTTGAAATCCTTTCTCCATTGGATCGTGTTCTTGATCATCGCGAATGATTCTTTCACTTTGAAATCCCTCGCTCGGAGGAATTTCAGTAGTACAACATCGGTTCTCTCGTCCGCCATTAGCGGTATTCCCCAGATTGACACCTCCTCCGGCACCACGGCAGTCGGGGGAGGGTTGGCCGTTGTGTCTACGGCTTCTTCAGATGGTGCTGCGGCGGAGGCGGCAACGGCGACAATCGTCTCTTCGATTGCTTCGACTGTTTTTGCTCCGTCCTCATCCACGAGTGATTCGGTTTGCACTGCAACCACAACTTCCTCCGCGGCAGGCGGCGGTTTTTCTTTTGATTTCTCTTCTTTCTCTGCTTCACCTGCATTTGCTTCGGCGATTTTAGCTTCGGCTTTCGGCGGCTCTTGTTCTTCATCGGAGCGCTTCTGCGCATCATCGACGGTTTCATCTGTCTTCTCCACCACAGCCTCCGACGAAGATTCCTCAACCTTAACCGGCAATGACGACGGAGGCGGAGGCGTAGGCTGAGCAGTGAATTCGTGCTTATTAAGCGCTTCCTGAATAAGCTGCTTAAACTCTTCCAAAGCTTTCTTCTCAGAATCAGAAAGATCAGCGAGTTTAGTGCTCTCCTCCTTGAAGGAATCAGCATCCGCCACGACTTTATCATCACCAGCAGGTTTCAACACTTCAGCCTCCGCCGCCGCATCAGGAACCTCTCCTTCCGCCTTCAATGGCTCCTTCGCGGCGGGCTCCGGCAGCGGAGGAAGGTCCTTATTGGGCTTCTCAGCAAGGGGAACATCGGTGATAACGACTTCTTGGTCAGTCATGGTTGTGGGGGAGTGGAGAAAGTTGAATAAGGGGTTTAGGGTTGACAGAGAGAGAAGAAGAAATGGAAATGGCGGTGGTAATGGCGGAGATCGTGGGAGTGAGAGACGCCGTTTTAAAGGAGCGGGTTCAGACCGTTTGGTGCTGTGACGTGTAATATTCATCATTAAAACAAAATAAAAATAAAAATAAAAAATAAAAAAGGAGAAGGCGTGTGGGTCGTGGGGGCGTGACCAAAAGTCGTTTGTGGGGTTAACCAAAAAGTGGAGTGAGAAATTATTTAAACGGCTATTTATTTATTTCAAAATTAAAAATATCTAAAATTAAAAGTTAAGAGACTTATTAGATATTTTTAAGAACGATGTATACCGGTTGAGTACCGTTTACAACCAAATCCACTTTAAAAAGTTGGGTCGGATTATCGATGTGGGATCTCACATCGGTTGGTGAGGAGAACGAATCATTGGTCATAAGAGTGTGTAAGTCTCTCTCTAACATACATGTTTTAAAACTGTGAGGCTGACCAGAATAAGTAATGGGACAAGCTAGACAGCATTTGTTTGTGGTAAGCTTAGGTTGTTACAGTCGGGTTGCTCGGTTATTTTTTTTTATTTTTTAATTATTTGAGAAATGCTACTTTTCTACTCACTACTCAAATATCAAGTACTTACAAGTCACAACGTGCCAATAACATTGGTTACAAACGTCGAATATTCTTAATTTTTCACAATAATTTAGAAAGTAAGGTTACGTTGTAACTCTATCTTCAAGTTTGTCCAAAAAAATGTCAACCCACGAACCAATTCGAATTTTTAGTTTTTCAAAAATTAAACGTAACTCAAACAGACGAAAAAATCTAGCCCAACCCAATTAGTTGTGTTGAATGATGAAAGTCCGACATCGGCTAATTTATGAAATAATCGTGGGTTTATAGTAAAAAAATACACTCTCCATTGCCATGAGACCTCTTGGGGAAGTCCAAATTAAAGCCATGAGAGGTTATGCTCAAACTAAATAATATCGTATCATTGTGAAAAGTCGTGTTCGTCTAACCAGGTTTTGGTTGGATTGGATAGTTCAAGTTGGTTGAATTTTGAGTCATATCGACGCGATTAATTTTAAAGAAAGTTTATGGATTAGACTATAAATTTTTTATTAATTTATAAAATAATTAAATGACAATGAAAATTTGATAAACTAATATATAAAAAGATAATATGTAACGGTAATATCTTTTGAGTTGTATTGTGCGGTAACGAATGTCTAACATGTCCACATTCGTGACATTTATTCTTAAATAAATAATTTTATCTTTATTCGTTGCTTATTTTGTATTTTTCATAGATTTTTTTTATAATATAATAAAAATGTCGATGTCAAACTCATAGACATGTAGAATTAATAGATCTATCACGTAAATATTTTAAATTTTATATCTAGTAAATTCTATGAGATGTTCGTGGGTTGGATTGAGTCAGTTTGAAACATTTTTTAGGCTAACCGTAAACTTATTGTCAGATCTTTTATTGAAAATTTTATTTTTAAAATTTTTAATAAAAATAAATATTAGTTAATAAAACATTTATTTATTTGTTTTTAAATATTTAATAAGATTTGCATTAAATTTGAATATATATTTTTAAAAATTAGAAATAATTAAAAATTATCTTAAAACCATTAGAAAATAAATAAATCAAAAAATATATATTTAATAAAATATGTGACTAGGATATTAAGTGTGGGGCCCAGTTAAGGAGGAAATTAATTTAATTTAATATTATATTAGGCTGTCAATTGGAGGAGTCCACAGTGTTTGGGAATAATGGTGCGGTGCCGTTTTACAGAAATCTTCGCCGAATCTGCCGGCACGGCATTTCCCTTTACAAGACTTTTTATTTTCTTTTTCTTTTTTTATTTTATTTATTTTCTTTTATTATCTATCTGGATATGGACCCAACATTCCCTCGTTAATCTATACATTTATTATATTTTTTTTATTGTTTAAATTCACATTTTTCTTCCAATTTTGTTGGAAAATATTTAATATGTTTTTAAACTTTTAAATTTATATTTTAAAATATTAAATATGTTTACCAAATATAAAATTTAATTTTCAATCACATATTTAATATAGAGTTATTTGATATTTTAATAAATAAAATTGATAAAGAAATATCGTAGATTTACTAGGAATAATCTCGTTTTCGAATGGATCGCTAGTATATTCATAATGGGATGCTGAACTTTCGAGTTGTCCTTGATGGAATCTATGTCTCCTTCCTCTCTGTCTCGTTCTCCAATTATACATAATGATATATTATGTATGTTTTTATTTGATATATCGTACTTCAAGGAATGTAAATCTTATGACCAAGATGATATGACTGTGTGTACAACTCTCGAGGCTCCGAGAATTGAAATATGTTATAAAGTATGACAAAAATGCCATGAATATGAATATGTACGTATACTATGATATCATGGAAGTTTTGTATGCATAAAGTACTCCACTCAAAATGATACCCTTTAGGGATACAAGCTTCCCACAGAACCGACATTACTCGCCCGAACTCCAAATTCACACTTTCTAAAGACATACACTTCTATAAACCACAACAGACACATAAATCACATCACTCAAATACACACTACTGACACACTTACACAAACAACATCCTACGAAACGATCTATCTAAAATTTATAAATTACCTCAAAATTTTTTATTTTTTTTAAAAAAAAATTAAGATTATAATATTACTTTAATAAGTTCGCGAGTATTTTTAAAATGTAATACCAACGGTTACCGTCTTTTAAAAAATTTTAAAAAAATTTAAAAGTATTAGTAAAACATTTGGAAATTTAATTTTGAATATTTTAAAAAATATTTAAGTTATTATTGAAATGTTTTTTAGAGTGGATCGAAAAAAATAAAATAATAATGAAAGGAAAAAGAAAGTAAGGGGACCTAAAAATAATAATGAGAAAGATAAAAATAAAAATAAAAAAAGGAAAAGAAAAAAAGAAGAGAAAAAAAAAAAAAGGTGGAATCAGTAGCGATTTCCATGCGCATTAGGCTTCACCATCATTACCGCCTCCAACCCCAACGTTCATAAACACTCTCATCTCACCGTCCATTGGGTTGACCAAATCCTCACCGTTCATTCCCCTTTCCAATTTATTTATTTTTTAAAATTTTATTATTAGATTTTTCAGTTAAAGTACATGACAGTGGGATGCGAGTTGGCTGACTTCAATATCTGACCTGTAAATATTTGGGTTTACATTTCATTATTATTATCTCCTCTCTTTCTAACCAACAATAATTATAAAAAAACACATTTTATTTAAACTATTCATAATACCACTGTCACCTCAGCCCAGTCAGCTTCCTACTTCCACGTCATCACTTTTATAAGAAATATATTATTTACATACATCCTGGTGGTTATCTATCCAATTTTTCTGTGTTAAACGTTTTTTCACAAATGGTATTAGAGCTAGACTCTGAGCGATGTGTCAACAAGGAAACTGAACCCCAAAGGGAAGTAGATTGTGACATTCCACATCAATTGGGGAAGAAAACGAAACATTTTTTTATGAGAATGTAAAAACCTCTCCCTAACAATCATATTTTAAAAACCTTGAGAAGAAGCTAAAAGAAAAAGACTAAAGAGAACAATATTTACTAGTAGTGGATTAGGCTGTTATATTAAGACTAAGACTAGACATCTATGATGCAACTTTAGGTATTTGGATGAATGTAAATATTGTATAAAACACAATTTGTATTGTGTTCGTGAGTTAAATTGAAGGCCTATCCCTTACTGATGCATTTACCTTTACTACCAACCCCTACATGCATTCCTTAAACTATTGGTTGACAGACATTGTAAAGATATATAGCCAATAGTCAGAAGTTTACCCAAGTTAGACCGGAGAGACAAAATATTTAGGCTTTCTACCAATTACCGGAGACTCTTCGTCTGAGATTTGTTCCATCTCAAACTCGAATCAGGAAGAATGTCCTTGAACTGCAGATCAATCATAATGCGCAAAAAAAAAAAAAAAAAAAAA